ACAGAAGAACAATGCCAAATCTGTTTTTCTCTTTGGATAGAATTAGGTTTTTAGCGGTTGTAGGTTGGAAATTATCATGCAACTCAAATTAAAATGGCTCAGTTATCGACCCATGGCTCACTCCCTCTTACAGGATCTTGTCAATTTTGCAATTGTTGCTTCATTCCTGGAACAAGCAAAGTTTGGCAGCAAATACAAGAGGAAGTTAATATCTAAATTGGATGGAAAATGCACTGGTATGAAAAGGATAGTCAACAATTTCTTTAAATGTAAAATTGTTTAGGATATTATTAACAACAAGTAAGATTAAGATGAAGTCAAACACATTAATGAGTAGGCTAGATGTTTTCCTGATTTATCATAGATTTTATTAAGAAAAGATATGTATGTATGTATGTATATCTATCTATATCTACATGCAATATACGTATATATATATATATATATATATAGTTACATAGGCTGAAAAAAAGACTTGCATCCATTAAGTTCAGCCTTTCTCACATCAGTTTAAAGCTCTTTCAAAATTTGCCACAAACTAGGAAAAAATGTCTTCTTGACCCCAGACAGTCGAATGACAGTCCTATCTCTCATTGGATCAAGAAGCTTTTGGACAACGTATAAAATATATCCATGAATAATATGTTTTTGCAAGCATTCATCCTGTCACTGTTTAAAAACCTGTACAGACTCTTATGAAGTCACCTCATGCAGAGAATTCCACACCCTTATTGTTCTAACCGTATTGAACCATTTTCTTTGTCTTACACCAAATCTCTTTTCTTCCAATCTAAATATGTGACCTTTTGTCCTATGAATAGTCTTTTTTTTATAAATAGAGATATAGTATAGAGACAGAGTGAGAGACAAAGCAGAAGAACTATACTCATATTAACAAAAATACTTAATAAGGGTACTGCAGTGATCAAAAAAATATAAAATTCAGCTCACTCAACCTCAAACAAACTTTAAAGCCCAAAACATTTTTTTAAAACTCCTGTTTTATATATTTAATAAGCCTGTCAACTAAAGTAATGTTAGTGCTCTTCAGGGTGGCATTTCGCTAGACTTCAGTGAGACTTTTGTTGTCACAAGTGGTGTGATCTTGTCCATGGACCATGAAGGGCAATTCACCACTGTATGGCCACAGCTCAGGTAGCCACAGCTCAAGGATTACATAAGGTGCCTCTGAAAGGTGCGTAAAAAGATAGGTCTTACTGTTCTTTTTTTCAACCAGAAGCCTGTGTGGGCCACATTTATAGAAAATCTTATGATCTCTGAGTAGTTAAGCTGTGCAAGTGACTGCCTACACAAGATGGTGTGTTGGGATAAATATCAGTAAAAGGTAATGTGCACTAAGCTTCAAAGTAGCTTTAGAGCACGTAATGTCTTTGAAAAACCTGAGGAAGCCAGTCATGGTGAAATGCGTCATTCCTTAGGTCACCAATAACACAACTCCTGGAACTCTTGACCCTGAATAATGTGTTTGAAATTAAGGAACCAGCATTAAGCAACTTAATAATCATTATAATGATTTCAAATCTTTCAGAGAAGAATGGTTTATGAAAAATTAATGGTAATACCTTTCTTAAAATCACTACATATACTTTAGCATATGAGGACACTATGGTTCCTCCTATCAATGTCCATTTTCTTAAAATCTAAAATCCACCAAATAAATAAGAAGCTGACACCTACGGGTATCCATAGAGAACCAAGGTATTTTTTGATCTTGTAACAGGAAGTCATTTTTATCCTCATTCATATCTCCAGCCTCACACCCATAATAGCAGTGTGTTTCACAATTTCCTAAAATTTTAACTTTGTGCTAGATATGATGTTTTCATCTATAGTAATATCAGAAAACTTATTAAGAATTGTTCGAGAATATTTCCATCATGCAGAGCATATAATAATCGTTGGACCTTGAGCTAAATTATTGATAGCTTTGTTCTGTCTCGAGCATAAATTGTGTCTAACAGAGGACTTAAATAATATAATGGCCCCTGTGTGATATTGTATCATCCACGAGCACGCTGCCAAAAGTATTAGTGCTGGCGGGATTAAAAGAGCTTTTATATTTTAAAACTACTTGAACATGTCACATCCATTATAGACGAATTGCAAATGAATAATTAGGAAGCCAATCATCTGGATTCAGAAAAATGTTTCTGCACACATAATCCTCTGGCTTCAAACCTTAAGTCATTGTGATGGTTCCCCAATAGCCCTAATCCTATCCCGAAATTAAGGACAAAAAAGAGTCATTGTTGTTTGTTTACCCAGGGGCATTCTGGAGAGTGGTTATTCTCATCAACAGAATGGACATTCCACCATGATATTCTCCAAGTATAGTTATTTCAAACTCTGTAAATACAGTGAAGCTATTGACTTGTCAGACTGATGTAACAAACAGTATGGTACACAATATAAAATCAGGAAGTAGGGCAGAGAGGGATACTGGATAATATAACATTATCATTGGCAAATGTGATAGTTGTTTAGAAAGTCCTCACCAGACTGTAGGGTCAGCTCTATCTGAACCGATAAATTTTGTGAGTGTGAAATGTATCACTTGGAAAAGTTGTAACTATTTTTTCTTAACTCTAGTACCTCTTAAAAGGACACTGCCATGTACTTAAGCCCCCATGGTCATTGTAATGGAAACTCATGAAGAAGATGACTTCACATATAGCAAGAGGAATTAATGCACGTTGTAAGCTCGAGTAGTCAATCAGCTGTTATTCACGCACTTTGTAAAGATGGAACACTGTGTTTTCAAGGCATCAAAGAAAGCGAATGTAGTTTGAACGGTGGATAGAGGTTTTTGATGTGTGGATTGGCAGTTCGTTGGAATTTGCATATGTTCGGGTTGAAATCTTACATGCAATTAGCAGTGCCAAAACTGGTAACATCATTGAAGAGGGAACTGATCCCATAGATTTGTGTAAAATTAAGGATAGTCAAGTGTATGCTTGTATTTTTTTTAAGTTTATTTTTTTAAATTATTTTAATGTAATATTTCAACATAGCATAATCAAAGAGGGGTCAACGCAAGTCAGTGCCCATTTAGGTAATTCACTTTAAAAGCCGGTTTTGAAAAAAAAAAACAGCTGGTAAAGACACTCAAACCACCCAAATCACTACCCAATAGCCAATCAGAATCAAGTAATTTTAAAAAAAAGTCACTCAAGAGCACTATATGTGCTGGATTTTCATTTTCAATAGTCAGCTTCTGTTGAAGAAATAAATATTTGGCTAGCTAGAAAGAAGTAACACATGCTGATATGAAACATTTTTGAAACTACTATTTGCTATTGTGATTTACCGACTCTGTTATATGAATTTAAAAAGTTATTCCAATCACCATGACCACGTCAGTGTTTTAAATTAGTCATGGTGCATGGAGTCTGTATGTGCAGTCTTACAGTAAACATGCTACACATACACAGATATTTTATATTGCTCCATAAGGTGCAACTCTACCAGCAACATTCCACAGTGCTTCATTCATCAGCTGAGAGAGTTCAGCTAATGCTCCCAACCAATGAATGACCAGCGGATTTGGTAACTGGCTTCCGCAGCTCTAAGAGGGCAATGATGCTTGGATTTAAACTATGTCAGGAGTATCCACTAGAGTAAGAATTGTGGGAAAGTAATTTAAAAGTGATTTTTTTTTTTAGATTTAAGGCCAAGTAGACAAACTGAAAACAGAATTGACTTGGAGAATTTTTCAAATTCAGCAACTTTGGCCTAACTTCAAAATTCCCTATGGATTCGCTCTGAATTTGCTGCAATGTTCACATGAGTTACCCAGAGTGTGTTCACTGAGCAATGATATTATCATTATAATGAAGGCAGGTTTTTTTTGTGATGTCATAGAGCTATAATCAAACGTATGTACTAACTGAGACATAACAATAATGAATGATAACACTTAGTAACGATCAATACAAATGTTAAAGCAAATGGCAAAGATAACTGGTGTGGCACTCAAACAGCACATTTACTAACAGTCAGGAACCTTCACCAATCCATTTAAGATGTCATATCACCTCTAATACAATTTATAATGATACTGAATAGATTTTATTCCTCGCATAATGAGCTGTACCTAAGCGAATACATCCATTTTATTTTATCAGACCTCTTTTGTGTAGAATTATAACCCTATTCATAATATATAATTTTCACTTTATTTTCATTTTAATGTAGCAGGAATACTTTTTTAGCACACAGGTAAGGTCTCAAAATTCATGTGCCTCTATATGATAAGTCAGAGATGAAATGATAAACCACTGTTACTTTACTTAAAGTAAAATTAGTTCAAATGTGTATCTTTGTATCAAGTTGATGTGGTTTACAATGTTATTATTTCAGAATAAAACAAATTAGTTGAGTGCTCAGTATGTACAAAGTTATTCACTTAAAAAGAAGGTTTAATCGGTGAAGTAGGAATCGTAGTGAATTGAAATCTTAATGACAAAATTCAGTCTAAGATAGTTCAACTGTGATTGTAGTTATTGGAGAATTTCTGCAAAAATGATGATTCAGCCTAAAGTTGTCCTTTGGATTTTAATTCTCTACAATTCAGATTAGACTCATCAAGTATAAATTAATAGAAATTCCAATTTTAGGAATTTTTTTTATTTTCAGCTATATTGGACTAAAAATGTTAAACTCACTTGTATTTATTTTGAATTCTTGACAATTCACACTATAGCAAATAACCCTGGTTACGTGTTTCTAACAGCATACATATATGTAAAGAGGAGCCGTGAAAAGAAGTTCTAATGACTTACTGCTCTCAATCTGTCTGGGATAACGTGAAATTAACTTCTGCTTTTGTACAATTTTGCTAATTGTCCGTGCCAACATATACAGATGATTTATACAAGTAGAATCTCAAAAAACAAGAATTGTGAAATGAAAGTAAAGCATATTTAGAATGTTTGGATTTACTAATAAAAATAGTAATGTATAAAAATCTCATACCGGGAAAATAAATTAAAGTGAAGTGTCTGTTTCAACTAAAAGGCAACATATATACACACACGCAAACACACACATACACACATTCTAAAAAGCCAGACATTGCATTACGGCACCATCCGCAGCATTAATATTCTTTAATAGTGATTTCGATACCATTTCATAAATACAAAAATATATCAAAGCAACTTTAAACAAACAGGAAGAGTCAGAAGTTTGGTTTCATTAGCATATAATTGTTTAGATTTTTTTCTTTTCTTGCTCATATAATGTTCAAGGTTACAATTTCTATATATATATATATATTCTTTTGCACACATACACATAATGGAAGGTGCAGAGTTCATGATATAATAAAATATTTAGATACTGACAGTGAAGAAGATTCTTATGCTTTAAGTGATTAGCTTATCAAGTGTTAAGTAAAGAGGAAGGGGTGCAAGGTCTATATATTAAGGCAATATTGATGCAAGATGATAATCTATTTTTCATTTTTTTTGTTTAATTGAATGTGTAAATGTATTGACAGTGAACGAGCATTCACACAACGAAGCTATGAAATTAGTGTATTGTAAATTTAAAAAATAATATCAATATGTGCATTTTTGTGCAATTGAAGTTATATTTAATTTATTTATTATGTAATCGTTTTTAAAATTTTGTATTTTGTTTCTTGGACATAGAACATCAGTAGATATACTGTTTGATGTGTGTAGTGTCTTTTTTTTAATTTTATTAAATTATATAATATTTTAAAAATTCAGTGCATATTCTCTAAAGGCTCCTCTTACAGTAAGTCTTGATATATAGACCAAAGTATTCTTTGTAATTCTACAAGATGAATGCGCCAGAATTATATGCATACATTCAATATTCTATACTCTGCATTTACACAAACATAACATTTAACTTGATGACAGGCAGTACCATTGGTTATGCATGGATCAGGTGACTGCTCATTATAAACTGGAGATAATCTGATTGATTGCAGAATACTAATTTCAAAAGCGACCCCTTGCTCTGAAACACACACGTAAAAACAGTTTCACAATGATCCAACTCTTACAAGTTGATTCTCTGTGTACCTGAGAAAGATGTATTAATATAATGAGATCTGAGATCTTAACATGTTGTTACAATATTTGCTTCATACAGTGATAATACATTTATGACTCTTAAAGATAGACTCCACCTTCACCAGACCCCAACATTTTCAACTATCCAACAAAATTAAATTGACATTTTTTTGTTCAATGGATACTGATTAAGTAATACATATGTATTGCTCAAACAAAAACAAAACATATTCCAATAAATAGGATTTAGCCATTTATAGACAACGGTAACAGATATTAGTATTGATTTTCAATCAGAAAAAAGGAGAATTATTCTCTTAAATTAGCAGCATCTATCTAGTTACAATTTAGAGGAAATGCAATCGTAGATGTATCAAGCTGTGCAATGATCATGTGACACAGGTGGCATTTATTTGGTTATATATAGATGAATGTTTCCGTATGTGTACTAGAATTTTAGCAGACGCTTATCAAGATTTTGCTAAGCGTTAGGTATACAAGCTGAAACATTGATTTAACTTTCCTTATAAATGTCACCTTTTCAACTACTCAAGTCCCGTGAGTGCATTATGTTTGTGAATCCCTCATTGGATACTGGCAGAAAGGCAGTACACATTGACTAATCTGTATACAGAGTGTCGAGACTGTTCTTTCAACATTATCTCTCTTAGTCTCTCACTATGCATTATAGCTCATTTTCCATTGGTTTCCTTAGAAATGACCTACACCTTAAACAAAGCTGTTTGACCAAAGAATGGGTTAGGATTGTATCAGTTAAATCAAGAAGTATTTCCACATGCAGCTATGTAGAGAAATTTGGGGCATTTTTGTTGAATGACAAGAGAGAGACAGAGAGATGAACATAGATAGAGAGAGAAGAGGATGAGAGAAGGAGACAACAACAGATATAGAGGGGATAAGCTCTAGTAAACATTTTTTAATTATTCATTTTTTTAATGAAATGTGTAATAGTTTTTAAAACTTTTTTCTTTTTTTTTTACTAAAGGCTTATTGATTTTGGGATACTTTCACACCTGATGTAATTTACAATGCTTGATATATCTGGGTAACAATTTAAGTGAAAACATTTTTATCAATTGTGACTTTTTGGCATTATTTAAAAAAAACTTTGTGTTTAGTGAATATTCCTTCTCATTTTCTTTTTGCCAATTAGTTTATCTCTTATATATCTTTTTCTAAGTATGGATGACAAAACTGAAAAAGACTGGATTTGCTTCAACTGGAAAATTAAATTACAATAAACATTTTGCTCTGCAATTTGTTAGCAAATGTACCTTTGAAATTCTATCCTTGGCCGATGTCTTTTTTTCTCTACAATGAGAGAATTGCATGTTGAACCCACAATACAATTTTCACTATGCTGCAATGTTTTAGATAAAAACATAACTACATATGCTACCAAATTGTATAGAAGGAAATTAATTTTTATTTTTTTGCTTTCTTTATTATGTAGTGTGACTACGTAATAAGTTACGGTACATGTGCTGAGTAAAGGTCAACCTTAGCAACGTTAGTCAAAACTATGGACTCATGCTCTCTGCAGATATTGAGCCACATTCCAAGCAGTCCTAAAGTGGCACGGTATGCCCAGTACATTACAGCATTGTCCATCCACCGCCTTCCGTAGTCTCAATCCCCTCTCCATGTTGTTATGTGCATGCCTCTGACCTGATATACTACTATGTCTAGATTGGAGGATCACAGCTGCACAAGCTCTCTACTATCTTTAAAAGCCAGGAGAGAGGGTGCAGAGGAGATTTACGAAGTGGACACTGGCAATCACTCTTTAGAACCACTGTCCGAGTCTTGCAGCCCAGCCTTAGGATAGCAGCAGACTGTGACTATTAGAAGAGAAATTGACACTGGAGAACACCACACTGAGCCACATCAGGGCCAGAGAGGCAAAATAGCTTTCTGCCTCATTAATACAGGAAGCTGCCAGGTCAGTGGCTTGACATAGGACCAGGACTCCCCTAGCACCAGAACAAGCACTGCAAAGCATGTTTATAAGGGACAATGCACATATTTTTGACAAATATTATGTGGTAAGACCAAACACAACTCCCCATAATTTACACACATGGGCGCACATGGCCAAACACTGATGATGTGCCTGTCTGTTCATATTTTATAGTAGGAACCAGGTAGAGTCAAATTATAGCTTAACCAAGACTGACTGGATGCAATAACAGTGTGCATATGTGTGTAATCCTAAGGTGTATGTTTGTGAAGAACATCTAAATGTCAATGCAGGAGTGTGTGTGCAGAGGGTTTGTGTGTGTGTGTATGTATGAATGGGTGTACCCATGTGAAGTGCCATTGAATGTAGGGATGTATTTGTGTGTGTGTACATGTGTGTGTGAATGCACTGGTGCACTTGTGTGGAGGTTTAGTGTGTGCTTAAGAATGTAGAGGGTCAGAGTGTGGGTGTTTATGTGATGGGAGGGATGTTTCTGTGTGTGGACAGTCAGAGTGCATGTGCATGAATATTGTCGTGGCATTTAAACACAAAATGATGTCTTAATGTCCTGCATGATGTAATTACAAATGTATGTAGACTGGTCTGTCTTTAATTGCCGGGGACTACTTTTGGCCTCAGAGTCACAAAGAAACCAACAGGTTTTTCTTTGAAATAATAGCTCTACAAAAATGTTTTGCACAAAATCCCCGCACTAAGAACTAGTTTCTATTACAATAGATACGCTTATGTCTTGCATATTTTCCTAGAAGTCAATAGGAGAATTGTTATTCAGTTAACAAAGTTAAATGTATTGTTTGTAAGATAATTAAGTCATAAAATGTGTATCCATGGAGCAGTTAGTTGCTGTGAGATGCCTACTAACATGATATGGGCTGGACTTGGAGATTCATGCCGGAACGAACCACAATACGGTTGAATTTGGGCAAATTGGGTGCGATGCTGAACATGTTCTGGAGGCTGGTCAATATTCTGAATTCTGCCTGTGTGCTAAGAAATTAGATGATTGATGGGGAAAAAAAGATAATTGATTGCTAGAAATAATCACAAAATGTGGTTTGTATTCATAATTCAAGTTAGAAGTGAGCAGTAGTGGAAAAAAATAGGAGGAGCAATAAGATATAACATAAATATATATGTATTTATTTTTACTACTACTCCTGTTTTTCCATCCGATTTTTTCTCATTATGTATATATTTTGCACCACACTGATTGGCCCATTTTTTGCATTTTTTTGGTTTGTTCTCTCATTTGTTTTCCAAATTAAAATTCTACTGCGCCATTCTGACATCCAGTAATATAAGTTATAATAGCCAAGTTACAAAATATCTCCCAACAAATAAATGAGATAATGTTTTTACAACTCTGATATCTTGATCTGAAATCAGATTTTAGCAGACCCTAACTTATTGTTTGGTAAATAGAACCTACTGTTACGTTATTGACACAATGTACTTTTCAGGTACGTGAGGGCACTTCCTATATATTTCAATAAAGACACCCAGGTTTTCTTATAGAAGAAGACAGGATTTTCCAAGTCTCCAGCAGTGATGCTCATGACCTCGTCCACGTTCAGTGGGAAATTTTTACATCTGCCCTTTAATCGTTCATTTTCCAACAGAAGATTTCCACAAAATGTTATTCAGCAAATATACACTACGTTGTCTGTTTTGGTTGCAGAAAATTACTTTTTGCTCTACTTCTATATGTGTGTAGGATCTCCGGTGAAACTATGACAACTCCGCCAATGGATATGAAGTTGACAAAATTGTCAACCTGAGCGACATAATGTCTAATAAAGAAACATAAATACGTTTTATCATCGTTCTTCAACATCTATGCTACCAGAGGGTATCTTGGCATGAAGTCGAGCACAAAGTAAAGTGCAATATTTCTTTTTGGGGGGTTAAAAATTAATTAATCCATTTCAGCATGATTTTTTTCTGTTTATTTGACCTTATTTTTCTAAATCATGAGATATATTTCTATTGAATTTTCTTCCTGTTTATATGTCCCTGGACCAAATTACAGACAGGTATATGTCAATTAATAAGCTAATATACATTTATATTATTATATTTTGTGGTTTTTTTTTGTTTGTTTTCCCTAATGCCCATGATACTATTCTAGAAATCTGATTGTGTCCAGCAGAACACTAACAAACAGAAAGCAAAATAAAGCTATCTTATAATGGGAGATAATAAATAATTGATTTCAGCTATTCTCAGTAACCTTGAGAAATGACATTATCCCAGTCCAATCACTAGTAGGCTGGGCCTACACAGCATAGCTTATATTTTCCAAATAATTTGTTTTACCTGATTTATTTATTTTAAATCTAAGCTTTTTTAAAAAATTTATAATGTTTCAAGTCTTATTTGTGGAATATGTCTTTAGTAATGCTGCCTAATAGTTTCCGCATAATTTGATTGTTTTCGTGTAAAAATAGACAAGATTGTTATTTAGAACTGTGTTCCCTAATACCTCAATTTCCTAATAAATAGATCTGTGTAGCATTGAATAAGTTTATTAAACAATTAATAAATATATTATCATTCACTAGGAGTTTGTTAGAGATATTTTGCTCATTTTCAACATTATTTTCTTATAATATTTTCATAAATATTTTAGCATATCATGACTACAATTTACATATCTTCACTATTTTGTTTAATAGATGCATTTTCTCGCAAATCTACTTATATGTAATTTGTGGTATATCTCAGTGGTGTATTATCAAATACGATTTATTATCTGTTAAAGGGACATTCAGAGACACTCCTGGAGCGAGGAATGCATCGGATAGGGCATGATACAAAACAAATAATGATTTTGTTACATGATGCAAGATTCATGACATTTGCAAAAATACACAGACCTCATTATCATAGCTCCACCTCCGTGTCTCTTACTTAAAGGGGAAATTATGTGGTGCAAAACATGCATGTATGATTAGCATTTTCCCAAGGAGTTTGGAACTCCACAGTTAAACTGTCAATTTTGCCCACTTTCTGGTCAATATGATGGCAATGAGAATTAGAGCACACATAATTATTCTAAAGATAAATTTATATCTATTTGGTGAATCGTGTGACTGAGGAGTAATTCAAAACTCAAAAAAATTACCATAAAAAAATCATTGCAAATATAGAATGAAAATTTAGCTGAATGTCATGAATTCCACCTACACTTTTAATTGGGCAATAAAAGGGACTCTGTAGGCACCCAGATTTAATTGAGACCATTTTAGTGCTGAGCATGCGCACCAACCTCTCAATGATTCCCTGTAGGGAAACATTGGATTGGCTTGATGATCTCAGCCAAGAAGGCAATTCTTTGGCAGGGAGACCATTGCACAATGGAATATAAGGTGAGTAAATCGTACCTTAGGGGAGGACACCTAGATATGTGGCACCTACATATGTAAGGGAACACTATAGAGATAGCAATGCATGTTTGTATTCCTTACACCATAGTGTCCCTTTAAACAATGGTTACAAGTTATCATTCAATGTATGACATACAAAAAAAGGGATAAAAATGCTTGACGCATAACTTGAATCATTTAGTAAATGTTATATGGTCACAGCCTACAAGATAAAGACAAAACCGATGAGCACACCCAGTCCCAACCAGTGTAGTTGGTTGGCACCTGTGTCAATGCTATATCTAGAATCTTGGAAATGTGTTCTACAATAATATATAAATGGCAGTATATGGAATTACTGAAATTTTAAATTCTTCAAATGTAGTCCTTGGAATTACTCCAGAGAAAGGGACTGTAATCTGTACCAGTGTAATGTAAAATCCATTAATAAAAATCTTACCACACCGATCTATCTTAGTCAATGTATGAAAGTATATGCCCCTTTCAGTAGCATCGTTCGAGATGCCAATCACACATTAGTGTACATTGTCACTTTCCCATAACTTACTAGCTCTCCCCACATTAAATTATTAAACTGTTGTGTGCCTGACTGCCTGTTATTCCATCATTACCATGTGATCTGTTAATATAAAGACTGATTCCTACATTCCCTCATAAGTGCTATATTATACAATGTATTTTATCTAAACAAGTTTCCTTCATGCTTAGCAAACAGCATGTCAGCAACAGGCATGCATCAATACTATTAGTATCGAAGTCCAGATTAAGATAACAGCATACAGTTTTTACCGTTACTATAATTTGTCATATTTTTGTAAAAATGTACTCAAAAAATATATTTTTTTCAGAATTTTACATAAGATGAAATTTGTTTATTGGGTTTATTCTTTTTCGCGTAGCTTGAGAGCATTTTGGGAAATAGGTCATTCTTAGAAATAGAACATTCATTTCTCTGAATAGTATAACAGTGTGACATTTTTGTAGTAAAATTAATTTATTCAAATGGATTTCACTTTAGTCTTTACAGGGCAACATAACACTTGAAGACTAGTTTATTTTTCTATATATATACATTTTTTATCTTTCCTATGTCATTGGTGGATAAGTGTGTTGAAAATAATAATTTAAAAATAATGTTGGCAATTGTTCAAAGCAGTTAAGAAGTCTTGTTATGTAGTAGACATACAAACTTCTATTGGTCCCAGAAAAAAAAGTTACTAAAAAAAAGTTACTAAATGTTATTCTTAATCACCAATTCTCCCTGGTACAGTACATAAACTCATCAGAAGTTTGTGATCTCATTATGAGATTAGGCACCAGAATGCATTATTTTAAGATGTTTTATGAGTTAAATTGTGATGAATTAAATAAATGAGTGGAGACAGTTTGTTTGAGATCAGGATCAAAAATAAAATAACATAGAACATTTTTATATTTAAAACTATGGGAAATATATCATGGGTTTTTACTCTTTTTTTTTTTTTTTTTTTAGAAAATATATATAAAAACTTGAACCAATTTGGATATAACCTCAGCTTATTCATTTTTTTTTTCTTATACACATTTCAAGCATTGAAAATGATAATTGTAAAACCGGCAAATTATCTTCATATTAAATACATTTAAATCCAATTTTTTGTACTTCATTATACTGAATGTTCCCTAATTTAATTTAACAATCATTTTCCAAAATGCTCATTGGCACAGGTGGAGATATTGATTTAAACATTGTATTTCAGTCTCCAGCAGGATCTGTTAAAGCATTGTTTACCCTTCTGACACTCAAAAGGTTATAGCACCTTGATACCTATGTGTTTGCCTATTGTTCGTTATTATGAAGTGCAACAGTGCAAGTTTTAGCATTGCAGTATATGAAGTCAACGAGGACCTCAATGCAGCAGTGCCTAATTATAAATACCTGTTATCCTCAATTGACACAAAGTCTCATGACTCTTAAATGATGTAATATGCACCTGTAAAAGAGCTATCAATTTGCAGCATTGGTATAGTTTCCCCTTAGTTTTAGAAACGGGGAGAGTAAATTAAAATGAACCCTTACAAAAAAAAAGTTCTTCTTCAGAAGCGAAATCCAAAATAAATTAATCAACTAGGTAAAAATCACCTCCAGTATGACACACATGATAGTTAACAAAGGGGTAAGGGTGTGGGTTGAGCACTTTGAGTGGCAGAGAGATGGGCAATGCATTGACATACCTGGCATTCATTGGGATTGCCACCTGAGTCATTTCGGCTGAAAACCAAAAGGTGGCACTAGAAAGTTTAAGACAGAAAGAAGAAAGACAATGTAGCCATGCAAAAAAAAATTATCTTCTTTGGTTTACATCATATTTTCCTAGGTGACAAAATTTATTTTTACCTAGTTGATATGTTATAGATCTCTTTTTCAATTTGAAATGAATAATACAAAATATTTTTCTAGCTTCCCATTAAATGGTGCACTCAAGGTCTAAACCGATTATTTTTTTTAATCCATATAATAAATCCAAGCATCTTCTCAAAATCAACTGGAAAGTTCCTTTTTTTTTTTACATCTGACAGGACCCTTCTACAATTTGTTGTGCGTTGCACAGTTATTCTTGTTTCATTGTTTTCTAAAAAACTTCAGGAAGTGTATATTTCCAATTTTCTGTGATCTCTTCAAATAACATTGGGGTGCATTGACTGTGACAATTCTTTCGATTTTTATCTTCATGATGGCAAAACAGGCTATTTTCTTGGCGTGTGTCATGGTGCCAAGCACTGACAGTCTTTTGGTCAGCTACATTTGTAAGAGAAAAACATCAGCATCAAGCTTAATTCATATTATTTCCTGATAACGCTGTGATCAACAATGCCACAAGAGTAGTAGAAGAGAGGTCATTCCACCAATCAGTTGTTTAAGCTGTTTCAGAAGGGAGTGGTGTTTTAAAAGTGTCTCTTTTTCTCTGTGTTATTGATTATGTCTCTTTCGGGGCAATTTGTATTCATAACTGGTAATCAAACCCTTCTTACATTTCTCAGGTGTTGATGGGGTCTTGGTAAGGCTTTCACTGTCACTGGCACCAGTGAAAAAGTGAGCACAGCAAGAAGAAGTAAAGAAGAAAAGGATTAAGGATTTCATCCAACATTGACCTGCGGATCATACAGGCTTATCAAAAGGCCTTGGGAATGGTGTGCCACTTGATGAGGATATTTTCCTGCAGACAGTGTTAGTATGATTCTCACATCGGCATCCAGGTCTTTTTACTTTGTCATAGCCTTTCTGACAGAGCTTCAGGCAACCCTTGGCAGGAAGATAGCAGCATAAACAGGGCATAAAGAAGGAAAGGAAGCTCATTGCTGCCCAACGGGCACAGCAGGATCCCTGACTACAAGAACAAGGGTCATCAGCACAGTTGTCCTCATCATCAGTAGAGCAATGATAGAAGAGGCCCTTGATGCAACAGAGACAAGATCCATAATCAATTACATTATCTGCAGAGCACAGGCACCGCTGATCACAAACCCAACAAGATGGAAGGTTCCGAACTTGTGTACATTCATCACATATGCAACGACCACACTCTTCACAGATAAAGAGGTGACCTACATATCTGTCAGGTTTCTCCATTATTCCTTTGATAAACTCATCTTGTTTAGGGTCACCATCTTTGGGTTGTGTCCTCATAAGTGAGTGCCCTGATTGAGATGGTGTTATTCCAGTTAATAGTCTTTGATCTGAAGCAGTGGTACTTCGAGAAACTGAACTTATTGTACTGGAATGGCTTAGATCATGTGAAAGGTGTTGTGAAGGATGTTGATGACTTTGGCTGCGATGTAAATCCTGATGATTGTAGGATACCAGATGATCATGAGGCCACTCTTGCTTGGCAGCATGTTGGGATAGGGAAGGGTTAGACCAGGTTTGCATAAATGAAACAGTAGGTCGCTCCACATAATCATTATTGGCCCGGATGGAGCGAATTTGGTCAATGGAAAGGACCTGCTGGATGTCCCCTGTTGAAATATCCATGCTTGGTGGACACCTTCCCTTACCAATTCTTCGCAGCAACCACTTTTTTTTTTTACTGCAACAGATTTAATTAATATCATCCATCAGGGAACATCAGAAGACCCTATGTAAAGAAAAAAAAGATACTATTTAGCATTTAGGGTTTCAAATAAAGCATATACATTTTAATACATTATACCATTAGAGATCATATCACATTTGAAAACTCTCTTCTTTACTGAGACTGTGTATAACTGATGATGAAACCCAAAATCAATTATCCAAATAGAATACTCATACCAGGTATATATTGGTATTACAATAGTAGCCAACATGCTAGGCTGCTCATATCTTCATCGATCAGGTATTTATCTTTAGTAATATATTTTTGTACAAATTAAACATGCATCACTAAAAAAAACTCATATTAACTTCTATTTGGTAATTTATGTTTATTTAACAAAGTACAAGTGATGTTTTGCCATTTGAATCTGTGGTGTTTCTATGTAAAATATTAACAAGTCTAACAATCATCCTTGCTTAATGGCTTATTCAACCTGTGAGTATATTAATTTGCATTATTTTCACATTTTTTTTTAATTTTAATACCATCATAAATAATGCATAGTAGCATCACATGAATGCCACCAAATCTTTGTCCCTGGCATCAGATCACTCTTGTACTTTCACCCAATATCCAAGGCTTCAATTGGGAAGCCTTGGACCATCACAGCAAACTCTGACAGAATCTGGTAAGTATCTTTTTTACTCTCTTTTCTTAATGGGGAGCTACTGAAAGGTTGAGAACATCAGCTAGTGCCCAGGCAGAGGCTTCCTTAATAAGGTCTCAGACATTCAGAAGAAGCACAAGGGAAAGCAGAATTGGTACATGCAAAACCCAATAAGAAGGATGCATAACTCAAAATCTCTCTGTAATTAATTTACCCTATCCCTGTCAAGATGTCAAAAGTGTTCTGAAAATAACAAAACTCCCTCCTCAGAGTGTACCCGGTTGTGATAAAATTACCACTTAATAATTATGAAAGTCTAGTAGAAACCAAGAAGCCTCTCTGTTTATCTATAAAAAAAAGAAAAAGATTTTCCTAATTTGTCTTACTTTCCACTGTCAGCCTTTATATTAAGAAAATATCTGACTTCCTTGATTCATAGACACATTTTCCTTGCCCCCATGAAGATTGAAATAACATTGCTGGATACTACATCCACAGGAATGAATCACATTTGATACATATGCAAAGGACATTACCAATGTAACAATCCAGTGGGGTATCACATCCATTAACTCACTCCCTCTATTAGGTCATCAAGCAGAAACTATGCTTCCAATGGAAATATTTTCATAACTTCTGATTGGGAAGGACCTAGATCCAGTCCTCAATTCTCTTCTGTTATGAAGAGTATCTGAGCCCTTGTAAGCAAATGACTATAATATTTGCATCACCCCATAGTGTTACCTCAGCTTTAGAACTAAAACTATCATGTTGCTTTGCTAGACATAAAGTTGACAAAGCATCATAGTTGGACATTTCTTCTTGATTGTCCATGTTTTAAAGAATAGAACCTAGGTTGCCTTAGAATTTTCTAAACATGTTACCAAAGAGTATGTCTCCTCATTGTGCCTTTAACCGTGTCATTGATCAGTATGTACTGGACATATTATGAGCTTAAAAATAGCCTGGTCAATGATGCAATGATGAATGACAAACTAACTGGCCTTAAAGCTAGGAATGTGAATATTGGGACATTACATCTTCAGGCATAATGTATTGAACTAATTTCTTCTGGCTTAACGTACATGACAGTATCTTTGTATATTCCAAGAAAATGAAAGAACCACTTTCATCTGTAGACAGAATTTATGACATGGACAAAAAGGCAAGCTTGTAATCAAGACAGCCATGGAATAACTATATCATATTCTGGAAATAGGGCTATGGTTCTGCTGACTATCTTTGTAAACTGCATTACTGAATGCTAATTATTTTACATAGGGCACTTCACAAGAATGAATGCGTGATGGAGAAGATAAGAACATTCACATTATTTAAAACATCATATCACTACATAGTTGAAAAACTATCAAGATTACTTCCTGTGCAGCAAATATGAAGAAGAGATTCACCAAAAACACCACATACCATCGTTCTAAACCCTGAGACAGTTACCTCACTCACTTTGACTCACAGTAACATTCTGTTTAACTCAGAGACATTTCCTGATCAGTTCCAAGGTGCTATATCAAATTAAGTCGAACATTGCTGTCTATTGAACTTCCAAAATGCATATAATTATGGTATTTCCTTTAAGTAAAAGCACAAGATTAATTTTGAGTATGTGACACTTACCTAAGAAAAAACCCCAAATCACAATCCAGAGGTGGTATGATCTGTTGCATCACATTATAGGCCCATCAAAGATCTGAAAGGCACATTTCTATGGAATGTGTGACTACATTACTATTCAAAAATAAACTCCAGGTTGGTTCACCTTGCGCCCTTAGCTTATCTGATTGTCAACATCTCTATCTGAGACATTCCAAGTTTCATGTTCTGCTTCTTACGTACAAAGAGGATCTGGAAAGAATCCATGGCTAAATTAAAGAAAGCCAGCCTTTTCACAACATGCACTGTGCCAATCTGCATCTGGCTTTTGGAATGTGCAGTGGTCATTTTACAAAAACATGTATGTGAATGCAAAACTGAAATCATCCCATGACCTTTATATTGCGACCTTGATGCATGATCATGAATTCCAGAAGTATTACAGAGGTCATTGTCTGTCTAGATGGTGGTGTTAACAGTATAAGGTCAGGAATGCATGTTTGTGTTCCTGACCCTATAGTGATCCTTTAAACATGTTTTATCTAATTTTCCTATATTGCATACCAGCTATCCTTAAAATTCCGGGGACTGGACAAATCCAGGTGAAAACCTAACCACTGTGGTGTCTTGTGCTAAATATTTCCATTGGAAGCATAGTTTCTGCTTTGTGGAAAAAGTGCAATATTTTCTTAAGAGCCAAAACTGTGAATACAATAGCATTGTGTTTTCATAAGAATAAACGATTAACATTCTAAGACAGCATTTCAGTAACAACTGAAAAAATAATCAGAACCTTCAAGTTTAAGGTTTACTAAATGTCAACAAAGCAAGAAAAACTCAAGAGTTCAATCTGCTAATTTTATCTCCAAAGGGAAGTCAATTCTTTCCTGAATAAATACAATAAGATTACCCTAGTCCTGTATTATGAGATTCCTTACTGAAACAGTATTTACAATGTGTTACAGCCATGCTTTTTACAAATAATATATTCTATAAAAAGAGTGGAAGATACCTAGAATAGACTTCTATTTGGAATAATTATGGTCACGTCCAATTATATATATCAACAATATGTATTCTAGCTATGTCTATTTTATGAATTAAAAATAATGGGAAGATGGATGGACACATCGTTTCCTATTTGCCTACTTTATTGACGATTGAATGTTGGAGTTTAACGATCTGAATAATAAAACACTTCAATTTCCAGCCTAATGAAATTCTATCTTTAATTTGTCTAGTTTATGCTGTCAGGCCGAAGCACCTATGTTTTTGTAGACTCTCTTCCTTGTCTCTCGTTTACTATTGTAGAAATCTGGTATCAAAAATACAGTTACCAGGAAACCTACACATGGCTCATACATTAGTAACATTGTTATTCACTAAAGTGTGAAATTAATGCAAAGTGAATTTCATCACTGCACCTAATGCTAAACACAATCAAAATACAGCCAAAGTGGCATTAGCAATGCTTTCATTAGGCCATTGAAAACTTGGTGCATGCACCACCTCAAAGTATTGAGAACACTCTTCTGACAAATAACTAATAACCCAAAATATTTCTAAGTAGCAGTGTATGAGAAATACAAGTACCAAAAATATCTCCTATTTCTTGGTGGCATGTACACACAATGTTAATGTTATCTCCACTTTGATCAGTTACACAATTCAAAGAACATGCAATCACTGAAGCAAAATGCACATGTTCACAATCCTGGAAAATTATATTTTATATACCATAAAGAAACATACTGCAAATCCCCAAAAGAATATAACAGGACAATTGTACACCTGTCACCTAAGAGCAGCAGAGATACACTTGAGTGTCTAGCCTTCAACCTCTGATGTAAATTAAAACTTGCACATTTCTCTAATTTAGTTTCTCTAATTTAGTACCATTTAGGTTGTTTCTGTGTCCTCACTTAAAAATGCATAACTTTGCATTTATCCACATTAAATCTCACCAGCCACTAAACTGGTGAGTCCCCTAATCCATCCATCAATTAATCAATCGATCAATCCATAACTCTGCAGCAAAGTTAATATCTTACTCGTATTATCTTGTTTAGTTGTATCTGAAAACAGTGACATATGACTTTCAATGCTTACTTTATGAATAGACACGGACACAGAACAGACTTGTGAGGGGCTCAACTTACAACATTTTCCATTAACAAATACTTGTTCAGTAACTTTTTTTGTGGAAATGTATCAAGTAAGTTAGCAAAATCCAAACAGATCACATCCATTGCAATACCCTGATCTATACTACTACTGACATCTTCATAGAATGAAGAGAGCATGATCAGTCATTCATAAAGTCATGTAGATTACTACTAATTGTAGAGTTTGCCCAGACTTTGTTTGAGATAGACCAACAAAAATTAAGGAACTGCCCTCATTCAAAAGAGCAACAATTGGTTGCAACCAAACCAGGGGCTAGCACAAACCTCACACAATGTTGTACCCAAGAGAAGATAAAAATGTCTAGACACTCCAAAGCCCAGCAAGAAGTAAACAGCAACATTTTGACCCTACAATGGGTCTTTGCCAAGCTGTAGAGTCAAAACATTGCTGTTTGCTATGTAAATTTGCCTGGCTGAGCTTTGGAGTGCCTGGACCTTCTCTTTTCCTGGATGCAACATTGTGTGAGGTTTGTGCTAGCGCCTGGTTTGGTTGCACCCAATTATTGTTCTTTTGAATGATGGCAGTTCCTTAATTTTTGTTGGTCTATTTTAAACAAAGTCCAGGCAAAATCTCATATGATTAAATTCTTCCTTTAGAGTTTTCCCTTCTTACTTTCCATCAACTATATTATGTTCAACTCAGATGATGCCTTATAGACATTCCATCAGTGTTGTCCCACTCCAGCATTTTCTTTTCCTTCTGTCCACTCCAAGGAAGATAAAAGCACATTAGACTTAGTTTAAAAATATAATTTTTTTCCAGTTAGTTGACCCCATACTTTTTTTATTTACATACACCTGCTGACCAAATATATGTAGATGTAAATAATACTAAACCAAACTTACATTACACAGTGATACTTGGTCAGTCTGCTAAGGATTTTGACCTTGGCATTCACTGAAGGTGAAGAGAAAGCTTAAACAAAAGACCATTTACAATGTCACTGATGTTATTCTAGGTTATAGAGTTTTTATTAGAAGAGAAGATTAGATATTACATATATTTTGTGATCATATGGTCACTTTACACTGTAAGTTTGCCACTACACAAGAACACCCTTTAAGGCTAACTTCTGAATATCTGAATAAAAGTATGAGCAACCATCATGAGTGAATGAGCAAACCATATGATACTGAATTGCAAAGCACTGTGAGTTTGTGTATATGAAATGGGGTCCAATTATCACATATTCATATTAGATAACACACAAGCAAATTATTTACAGAATGAATGGTCGAGGAATCAAATGACCTCCCAATAGACATGTTTGAAGAAGTACTGCATTGATGTTGATGGAATATGTATTCAGTTTCCACTACCATTATAATTGGCATTGTATTATTTTAATTTAGGCTTTCATATTGTTATATTCAACATTTTTATACGTTATTGTTATATTCAACATAACAAATAACAATAACATCAGAAGGTGTGTTTTATGGATTTTGGCTGAAACTATTATTGTACTTAGAGGAACACTCTAAGCACCAAAATCACTTTGTCTTAATGAAGTAGTCAAAAGAACCTGTCCCTGTTTTCAGACAATGCAAACAATGATGTATCAGAGAAACAGCAATGTTTACATTTTACCTAAACCATGCCTCTAGTGGTGGTCACTCCAACAACCACAACAGCTGTTTCCTCTGTTAAGTACTTCAATTTTTGAAAGCTTTCACATTTGCCATGAGCATGCATAGCATCATTATACCAAATACCCCAAAGTATTGGATTTAATGATTCTCTATTAAATGCACCAAATAGGCAAAGTGAACATGCATTGTAGGTCCCTAGTGCTTCTCTATAAGTATTGGATTGGGCTAAGATTACCGATATTGACGATCTCAAAAGAGGTAGACTTGCAAAGTTTTTTTTTGTAGAACAGGGGAGTCTCCAACTCTAAAAAAGTAAATAAACACAACTTTTAATAATAATATATTTATTTTTGTAGTTAGAGGATTCCTTTAAAGATCCAACGCATGCAAAAAATAAATGAAAAACAAAATGGAGGGCATGTTTTCTGCAGTCCACATTTAAACTCATATTCCGAGTCCTTTCACCAAAGCATCTCCCCTCACACCAATTCAGAACTTGAGAATTATATAATATATACGAGTAATTTACTCTAAAGTGGGGGTTCCACTTCCTATAACTTCTGCTCCAGTATTCAACAGTTAAAATGTGATGGACTTGCTAATTTCTAAGAAGGGTGGGAGGGTGGGAGTGTGGGAGGTGTTACATTTAGAATAATGCACATGCAAAATGGGTTCTTTCACAGAACACTTCAGACCATACTTGACATGCCTGTGCACTGCACACGTGCGCCAAAGGAACCATAATTCCGCTTTTCTTAGATGTCAGTTAGTGTGTCACTGCCACTGACAATGTTAGAATAATTAAGTTAAGACTGCTGAATAGAGAAACCTGCACTCCAGGATGTGGACAACTACAGATCCCAAGTGTTTTCTGGGTTTGCACTTTTCCTCCATATTGTTGATAGGCCCTCCAGCAACTTTTGTGATTATGTGACATCCAAAATGTATATGGTGAGAGAGGTTGGAGACCCAGACATGGACTATCATTAGATTAGGTGCTGATTGTGGGAAATAATAACAAGAATTCCCAGAATACTTTCTTACACCCTGAGAAGCCAAGAAATAACATGAATGGTTGCAAACCCATGTCCTACCATTGGATCTTGAGCTCTTCTATTTCTGTGGAGATGTTTTATGTATGCTGCATTAGAAATTGACTGTATGGCAAACTCACTTCACCCCAAAACACTAACAAAATTCTATGCTTTCAGGATATAAATTATACAGTGCGTATTAGAAAGGGTAGGCCCATTAACATGAAAGCATTGCACGTGCATCCTCTGTCAGACAGAAATGCTGTCAATATGCTTTCTGCATGTACACAATTTCAGCAGTCTTCCAATAATCCATAGTTGCTTCTGTCAGCTTCCTTACAAATGCAGACCTAATATTGCATGCCTTTCTAGATCTTCAATATGCGACAATGGGTTTGCATCTGGTATGAAACTGGACAAGTCAGTATTTAAACTCTCTGCCCATGAATCAATAAAAAAATTAATTAATTAATTAATCTTGGACATTCCATATTTCTCAAGTATACACATTATAAGTTATACATTTTTTTATATTTTTAGACAGTTTGTTATGGGGTATTTAATGACCAGTTTGATACAGACTTTAATTTTTGCCTTTATTTAAAAAGTGGGTGATAAATGTGGCACTAATAGTTGTTGATGTAAAAGAAAAGGAGAAAAGTGTCTATCTATCTATCTATCTATACTACCAAATTGTTATTGTTAATTACAGTAAGTATATGCATCATGGTTTTACATTTTCACTACAGAAATATTAATTTTTCCATGGTAACTCTATTAAGCCTCTATGCTAGTTATATAACATTTCTTATATATTTTGATGTGTGGGGTATTTAGATTGAATTCTTATCATGGACTTGAGTTCTTCCACTTCTTTTTTATAAAGCCATTGAATAAATAACTGTGGACACAACATATTTTATATAAATATAAAATATATTTTATAGTTGTGTTATATGTTTTGTTAACTTCCTAGATGAAATTCTAAATCACATCATGGAATAATGACCTTATTCAGAAAGAGTTGTATTGTCTTGATGCAAGCCCATTTTTTAACCAAGGTTATAAGGAACACTGATTACTATACCTCGATTCTCCCACTGTACAGCACTGGTAGAACTTGTATCAATTTCCAGTTGAATTTAGGAGAAACTTAAACAGAATTAAATCTGCCTAAGAATTTATTTTGTTATGAGAGGTTACTAACTGTCTTTGGCGTTTATACAAAGATTTCGTTATACGAGAGTCCTAGGTTTTGTAGCAGGAACCATGTTCTCCATTTTTACTTGATGGCTTCCATCAAATGCTCAATGTCTACTGTACGAGTTTGTATCTATCTGTCAAAATGAGTTTTGTGTTTCCTTTTACTAAGTACATATATTTTTAAACAGTTTTGGCACAATATGAATGAATGATGTATGAATAATTCTACAATACCAAACATCTTGGATAAAATAAAATGAGAATGTCCATATTTATTATCTACTATGATATTTGTACATCAGTGAGAACAAAGTCTACTATCTACATTACGTCTTGTTAGTAGACATTGACTAAAGGTATATTTAAATTTTTGATATGCTTTTGTAAAGAAGATATATACACGCACACACACACACACACACATACATAACAATATGTTTAAAAAAAATTCTTTCTCTTTTGCATGATTAGGAATTTAATGAAAGAGTGGTTTTGCATTATGGATAATATATTTATATAAATTATGAAGATTCCAGGATAACGAGATTCCTTTTATTCTCATAATTTTTCTGTTTTGACAGACAGCTCGCTGCTTTTAGACAACGTGACATGCAATGCTATATTACACAGAAATAAATAAACCCAGAAGAATTTAGCTGAAACATATCCTGCCATAATGTTTTCAACAGTGCGAAATGAACCCAACATAGCTGAGATACTTTAAAACAGCTGTATTTCAATATGCAGTAACATGAGTGGATTCCAAGGCATATATTTTCGAAATGAACAAACCACTCTATTCCAGAACCCTTGATAACTGTAATGTAAAATTCTTCCTAAACCTAATATTAGTTTTCCTAAGAATTCTAGATTTCTCTACGGATCGCTTCTAAAGTGAATAAAAACCTTCTGCAATGCCTCTCATGAATGTTGATTCTTACATATCACAGGGCACTAGAGATCAGAAATTATCTCTAAACAACTTGAAAGAAATCTGCATAGTATTCTGAATACTTAGCCACACATGCATTAAATTTAGATTGACAATAATATACTATTTACATTATTACACATTACATTTTTTGCTTTTGATAACTCACGACAAATAAACCGCAGCAACATTATAAATAGCCATATTTTTTTTAGTTCTATAAATATAATACCTCTGTGAGACTGTAGGTCCATGGTGTTATATATTCTCCTCCCAGGTCGACGTATGTAGAGTTACGGTTACTGTATCTGTCCTTTAGCAGGCATTACTCTTGTGCAAAAAATCTCAATGAATACTCCTCCTTAATAGGTGTAAACTGCAGATGTAAAGGTGTGTCTCTCGTTCTCCAAAACAGCACAGCGCCAGCATTAATCACAACCAACGTATACGGCTAAGATTGATGTTCCAAAGATGCTGCGAACTGATTTAAGACAAGTTGTTTCCTCTTCCACTTTGGGTAAAGCAAATAAATTGCTAACTGCTATTTTATTATATATGTTTACATACACACTCACATATATATATATAGATATATATATATATAAATATATGGGTATTTCTGTGTATACCAGTATCCTATTTCTTGCAAAGCATTCCTTTCCTCTTTTTCTGTGTCTGTGTGTGTGAATCCTGCTTTAATGCAGAGGCAGTGCTGATCTCTGACAGTCTGTTTTGTGAATGCGGATGTTTTCAGCTGATCTTGTGAATGAGTTAAGGAGGCGGGGAGAGGTGGGGTCTGGAGGATTTTGTCCTTCTCTCTCACTGGCTATTCCTCTGTATATCTTTCAGACCTTGTATATTCATTTTGTAATCACTTGTCCTCTATCTGCTTTGCAATTTCACTGCTCTCTGTCTCTATTGAAACACATCAAGTCGGTTTCTCAGAACAGACTGCAAGAGAGGATAAGCATTTTTTTTTTCAATCAAAGCAGTTTTGTTTTAGCAATTAAATGATAGAAGATTTTGTTCTCATTACAGGAACAGGCTGATTTTTTTTTTCCATTATTGTTTAATCATTCTTTTTATCTCTCTCTTTTTCATTCTCTGTCTCTCGCTCTCTCTCACTTTCTCTCACTCCCTTCACTCTTAATGCCTAAGTGGCGTCATCCTTTGGAAACTGAATCAGGTCCATTAGCTCTCCCTATAGGCTTCTCTGTGTCCGGTCCCATGGCTCTGCATGCAACAGAATTAAACAAAGGAAAATAATGCAAAAATGGTTTTAAAGCAACAATACATCTGGCCCAAGCTCAAAATAGATTTATTATTTTTAGCTAAGGTTTGGGGGATACACATTTGATTCTATACAATAATTTTTTGCTTCTTTTTCATGTGAGATTTAAAAGGAGCTATTTTAATACGTGCTAAGATGTTTCCAAATATTCTCCATTGATATCAATCCATGAATAAAGCGTGGGAGGGGTGGAACGGAGATTAATACAATGGCAAAAAATATACAGAAACTGATTTTGCAGAAATGTCAAAGTTATGCTGTTGCTTTTTGAATACATTTCCTGAATGTAAAATGTAAAAACATAATGTTTGACCGTTTTAATTAGGGCACCTTAGGTGGGATAGAGCTTCCATCATCCATTGCTGAATTGCCCTGATTTGAAGTATGTGAGATACAATGGTGTTCATATCTAAGGTAAGACCCAACATGTACGGGGCATAATGACTCTCAGTGCTAGAGCTATTTAGTATCAGTGCATATTAACATTTATAGATTATGGGAGTATAAATTTCAGAACACAAATATGGTGTTAGTCTTTTCTCCGATGTGAATGCAGATCAGAGAAAAGTTTTAAATGTACATTCCATTGCGCAAATAAAAACAAAACACTATTTTGTAGATATACCTCCAGTGGGAAAAAACATGCATGCATTTAAAGGGACACTCCACTGCCCAAATAAAAAAGCACTACTGAGTACCTGCACAGACTGCTAAATGCAACACACAGACTGCTGAATACACACACAGACTGCTGAAAATATACACAGACTGCTGAATACACACACAGACTGCTAAATACACAAACATCCTGATGAATACACACACAGAGACTGCTGAGTACATGCACAGACTGATAACTATACACACATAGACTGCTAAATACACACACAGACTGCTGAATATACACACACACAGACTGCTAAATACACATACACAGACTGCTGAACACACACAAAAACTGCTATATACACACACACACACAGTCTGCTGAATACACACACACAGACTGCTGAATATATACACAGACTGCTGAATACACAGACAGACTGCTAAATACCCACACAGACTGCTAAAAACATAAACACAGACTGTGGAATACACACACAGACTACTGAATACATGACAAACTGCTGAATACACACATGGACTGCTGAATACACACAGACTGCTATACACACACACACACACAGACTGCTGAATACACATGCGCTTATTGTTGAATATACACAGACAGACTGCTGAACTCTTACATGAAGACTGTTGAATACACACATAGACTGCTAAATACACACACACTGCTGAATACATATGCACAGACTGCTGTATTCATACACAGACTAATGAAAACACACAGAGACTGCAGTGTGTGTGTATATCTGTGTAAGGGTGCAGTGTGTGTGAGGTGTGTAGTATGCAAGGAGGGCTGTGTATGTGTGTGAAAGGTGCAGTGTGTGTGTGCGTGAGGGGTGCAGTGTGTGTGTGTGGGGGTGCAGTGTCTATGTGCAGTGTATGTTAGGGGTCTAGTGTGTGTGTGAGGGGTACACTGTGTGTGTGAGGGGTGCAGTGTGTAGGGGTGCAGTGTGTGAGGGGTTCATTGTGTAGGGATGTAGTGAGTGAGGGGTGCAGTGTGTGAGGGGTGCAGTGGATTAGGGGTGCAGTATCTAGGGGTATCGTGTATGTAGGGGTGCATAGGATCTATATTGTATGTGTGAAAGGGTGATAAAGGAGAAAATATTTATATAAATATATGTTTTTTATTATTTTTATTTTAAAAAATGAATATATAAAAGCTTTAAGTACCCCCTCATTCTTCTTACCTTTGGCCAGGGAGAGGGGTACTTTGCAAGCCCTGGAGGTCTGGTGGTGGTGAGGGAACTTAAGCCTGCAGCTCTTCTGGCTGGGGGCTGACTTCACTCTTCTCCTCACCCTTCACTCACGCTCCCCTCACTCTCTGTAACACGCGGCAACGCTCAGAACACACAGGTCCTTCCAAGTCCTCCCTCCCTGTCCTGCGTCCTCCCTCTCTTAAAAATGAAGTACCTTCTTTGATTTCCCCACCAGCCTGAGAAGGCAGAAAGCAAGGCAGGCTCTACTTGGGCCAGCAGGAAAGATGAAAGGATCTCCCCTGTCAGCCTCAGCCCATGGGCATTGCGGTGGGGCCCCTACGTTTGTGGGGCCTCAGGGCAACTGCCCAGTGTGCCCATGCGGAAAGACAGCCCAGCCTCTTTGGAATTTACACCATTGTATACATCATTAACACTCAACTATAATTTGTGTTAAAGGTACACTATAGTCACCAGAATAACTACAGCGTATTGTATTTGTTCTGGTGAGTACAATCAGTCCCTTTAGGCTTTTTGCAGTAAACACTGTCTTTTCCGTGAAAAAGCAGTGTTGACATTACAGCCTAGGCATACCTCCACTGGCCACTCCTCAAATGGCTACTAGAGGTGCTTCTTGGGGCTGTACTGCATGGTGAGCAGCACTGCCATTCAGTGTATCCACCCTCTGCATGGAGACACTGAACTTTCCTCATAGAGATGCATTGATTCAATTCCTCTCTATGAGGAGATGCTGATTGGCCAGGGCTGTGTTTGGCTTGTGCCACTGATCTTCTTCCTTGACACTCTAAGGCAAATCAAATGCTTCCTTATGGGAAAGCATTGAGATTGGCTGAGATAAGCAGTTCTGATCATGTCAGCCAATGAGGCAGGTCAGGGGCAGAGCCAGCAGCAGCAACAGCAGCACCAGACTGGAATAAAGGTAAGATGTTACTATAATTAGGGGGATCAGGGTGCTAGATGATGTTTTTAACACAATAAGGTCAGGAATACATGACCCTATAGCGTTCCTTTAAACTTGTGTTTTTGTGGGTGTGCTGATGTCTTTCAAATGAATATTAAAGGTTTAGCAATTGGCATTATAATTCATACAAGGCAAAGCCAGAGCAAACAGTGCAAATCAAGAGAATAAATAAAAACATTGTTTATTCCCCTTTTCTCTGTATGTCTTCTCAATGCTGACTGACAGGTGCAAAACACACTTCAGGGAAGTGAGAGACAAGATTGTCCGTCTAGGCTCAATTTGCAGAGAATTGACATTAGGCAGCTCAGTACTCTGTCAAAGTCACACGTGCCTGAGGTGTAACTAGCCACCGGTTTACAAAAGCAAATAACTCTGGATGTGCAACGTTCCAAGCTGAAAATACTTCACAGTCAGATTCCTTCCTCATTAACCACTTCAAAAAGCAGAAGTGACTATGGCCAGTTATCATTTAATTTAATTTTCACATCTCACAAATACATGTGTTACGGGCGCTCTAATGATCGTTACGGGATTACTCTGTTTATTTCACCGTATACCTTGTTTTGGTAGTTATACTGTATAAAACTCATTCCACGAACAGTCAGGACAATGTATTCGTGGATACGAACGACGGACCATCCGGCCCTTGGCGTGTGCCGCCACTTAACCTTTTTCACCTTTAAAACAACCGAACGACCAACCACCCTACAAGCGGAGTGTGCTTCTAATTGACCACCGGGTTAACCGCAAGCCTAATTGACTGTCTCAGGGTGGCCTCGTTTGTGTAATAATTCACCGAACTGAAACTCACGAAAGACTCCCGAACGAGGACCACCTGCATCCTGGCATGTGGCCCCAATTAGAACGTTGGGTCTGCGGTTAACCGCAAGTTAAATACCCCCCTTCATGGGGGTCTCTGTTCGGCTCACGAAGGGCTGAGACAACCATCCTTTGAGCGGTGCTCGCGCTATTCTTCAGCCGCTACTCGCTCCATGGGTTTTAGGTCCAGGTCCCGCTCTCTATTCACCAACCTGAAAGCATGGCCGCCATCTCGTGTTCGGGACAAAAAGGCACGAATGGACTTTGTATTGAAGAAACTAGCTATACCGTTCGTGAGATCTGAGCGCTATTCGCCTATCTGCTGCGCTCAGATCTGGGCTACCTAACGAATGGTGGAATGCAAAATGTGTCTATTAAAATGTTATAGTTATATATTTTTAAACTGTTTTATATGTTACAATAAAATGTGGGATTTTGGGCGCTTGGAGATAATTAAATTGTCATAACCGTTAGAGTCATTACCTCCAAGCTGGACTGTGACCATTTCAAACGATACACTGTAATGCCATTGGTCAACTGTTTGTATTGTCCCTGTATCCCATCAGGTCCAGAGGGTGCTGTCCCTGGACCTGGGGTTTTGCATAAATAGCGATGCCTGTGTTCCATTAAACTCAGTTCGTTTTGACCCTCAAATCGCAGCCTCTACTCGTTTTGTGGGGACAAGGGTATCCTAGCTGTACCATAGCTAGTGGGATTGCTTTATATTCACAGGAATCTTGTGGTATGCTGATCGGAACAGCGCTTCTCTCTCTCCACACTCGGGAACCAGGACATCCAAGCGGTCCAGCCTTCAGCTAGCTTGGAGGTAACCGTAACAACATGTTTCTTAAATATAGGGATGGCTCTGTAAGGGCCGGCAGGGAAGATGACAGAATCTCTTCTGTCAGCCTCGGCCCATGGGCATCGCGGTGGCCTAGGGCAACTGCCCAGTGTGCCCATGTGGAAAAAAGGCCCTGCCTCTTTCAAATTTACACCAATTAATACATCATTAAAAGTCACCTATAACTTAAACATAAACATATCTTAAAGGGATACTATAGTCACCCAAACAATTACAGCTTATTATTATTATATTATATATAGTCAGTTCCTGCAGTTTTTTTTTTCCAGAGATAATACAGTGTTTATATCACAGCCTAAGAACAAGAGCTGTATTCTGACAGATCAGGGGCGAGGCCAGTGCAGGCAAACCCACACAGCGCTGGAACTAAGGTAAGTTTTTTCCAGTTTTAAGGGGGGTAAGGGCTGGCAAGCCACCCAAATGATGGTTTTAACACCATAGGAACAGGAATGTACACTTGTGTTCCTGACCTTATAGTGTTCCTTTAATATATGTTAAGGAAGTACTGGTATCGGTGCAAACAGATAAAGATCAATAAATATGTAAAAAAATGACATAAAATCTGCACTAACCATATTTGCAGGCGCCACAACCAACAAGAAAAGGGGAGGGAAATTTAAAAAGGTGCAAACAATTATGCTAGGGCAGTCCTGCATTTTAGTGTCTTTTCCTTGTGGAAATGGTTCCAATGGACCTGTACAGTATTCTCAAATCGGCCCAGCATTTCAAATCTGATGTGTAGATCTGGTGTATGGAGCATGGGGTGTGCAAATCTAGCAGTTGAAACATGTGGTTTGCCAATCTGGTGGGTGGCGCATGTGCTTTTCAGATCTGGTAGGTGGAGCAAGTGGTGAGCAGATCTGGTGGGTGAATGTTGTTGTTTGCAGATCTGGTGTGTGGAGCAAGTGGTGCTCAGATCTGGTGTGTGGAGCATGTGGGGTGCAGATCTGGTGTGTGGAGCAAGTGGTGTTCAGATCTGGTATGTGGAGCATGTGGGGTACAGATCTGGTGTGTGGAGCAAGTGGTGTGCAGATATGGTGTGTGGAGCAAGTGGTGTTCAGATCTGGTGTGTGGAGCAAGTGGGGTGCAGATCGGGTGTGTAGAGCAAGTGGTGTGCAGATCTGGTGGGTGGAGCATGTGGGGTGCAGATCTGGTGAGTGGAGCATGTAGTTTGCAAATCTGGTGGTTAAAACATGTGAATTGCAGATATGGTGGGTGAAGCATGTAATGTGTGGACCTTGTGGGTGTAACATGTGGTGTGTGGATCTGGTGGTTGGGCAATGCAGTGTACAGATCGAGTGAGTAGAGCATGTGGTGTGCAGATCGGGTGTATGGAACAAGTGGTATACAGATCTGCTAGATAAAGTATGTGGTGTGCAAATCTGGTGGGTGAAGTATGTGGTGTGCAGATCTGGTGGCTGTGGAATGCTTTCTGCAGATCTGATTGGGTAGAGCATTTGGATTGCAAATCTTAGGTGGAGCATGTGGCATGCAGATATGGAATGTCCAGCAAGTGGTTTTCAGATTTTGTGAGTAAAGCATGTGGAGTGTAGATCTGGTGGTTGGAGCATGTTGTGTGTAGATCAGGTAGTTGGTGCATGTGGTATCCATGTCTTGTAGGTGCAGTATGTGTATTGCAGATTTGGAATGCTGAGCAAGGGGTTTGTAGATATGGTGGTTAAAGCATCTGAATTGCAGATCTGCTGGGTTAAGCATGTGGTGTTTAGATCTGTTGGGTTAAGCATGTGGTGTGTAGATCTTGTGGGTGTAGCATGTGATGTGTGGATCTGGAGGTTGAAGCATGCAGTGCACAGATCGTGTGTGGAGCATGTGGTGTGCAGATCTGGTATTTGTGGCACGGTTTCTGCAGATCTGATTGGGTAGAGCATGTAGCTTGCAAATCTTAGGTGGAGCATGTGACATGCAGATTTGGAGTGTTCTGCAAGTGGTTGGCAGCTTTGGTGAGTAAAGCATGTGGAGTGTAGATCTGGTGGTTGGAGCATGTGGTTTCTATGTCTTGCAGGTGGAGCATGTGATTTGCAGATCTGGAGTGTTGAGCAAGTGGTATGTGGTCTGGTGGTTGCACATTATTTAGGTGGAGTATGTGGTGTTTATATATGGTATGTAGAGCATGTGCAGATCTGGTATTTGGAGTAAGTGGTCTCCATATCTGGTGGGGTGAGCATGTGATGTACAGATCTGACTGGTGCAGATCTCTCTTCTTGCTTCATCCAGCCCTTTGCACTTTTATAAATGAGAGCTCTGCATGTTCTACATTCACAAAAATACTGTATGGATTTAGTAATCATCATCAGCAACTATTAGGAACAAGCTGATATTCTTATATATTCTGTTTACATATGCTTACAGACTATGCTGGAACTAAATGTCCATTGTCTAACTGGTGGCTTCTAAGGAAAAAAACTACTTAGTCTGGGTCTGTGGCTATTATGGTAATTTAAGCACGTGTTGTATATAATCATCTACTTTTTGCCTGTTCTAAGCACTTTTAAAATTTTTGTGCAACAGTGTAAATCCCAGAGAAGTAAGAGTTCCCCCTTAAATAAATTGAATGTGTTAAAGGAATTATATAGTACTAGGAATACAAATAGGTATTCCTAACACTATATTTTCCTAGTAGCTTTTTAGCTTACTGGCCCCCACCTCCCTTCGCAGCGCCTGTCTCCATGACTGACCCCACCTCCTTGGCTGAGTTTTCATCAATAGCGTCTTTAGTAGCTGTCTGAGAGACAGCCACTAGAGGCATTTAAACCATTGCAGGGTTAAAACAGGGCTGACATGGCACCCATATCACTATATTGAGATGAAATGGTGTGGGTGCCTTTAACCCCCTAGTGACCAGACTGTTTTTCAATTTTCTTACCGTTAAGAACCAGGACTGTTTTTACATTTCTGCGGTGTTTGTGTTTAGCTGTAATTTTCCTCTTACTCATTTACTGTACCCACACATATTATATACTGTTTCCTTGCCATTAAATGGTCTTTCTAAAGATACCAACCATTAGTTTCATCATATCATATAATTTACTATTAAAAAAATTATAAAATGATGAGAAAATGTTAAAAAAAACACACTTTTTCTACCTTTGACCCCCAAAATCTGTTACGCACCTACAACCGTCAAAAAACAGCCATGCTAAATAGTTTTTAAATTTTGTCCTGCGTTTAGAAATGCCCTTTCTCTTTTCAGAGAAAATGCAGTGTTTACATTACAGCCTAGTGATAACTCCACTGGCCACTCCTCAGCTGGCTGTTAGAGATCCTTCCTGGGTTATGGCTGCCTAAAATGCATCCAAACATTCAGTATCTCCTCCCTCTACATGCAGACACTGAACCTTCCTCATAGAGATTCATTGATTCAATTCATCTCTATGAGGAGATGCTGATTGGCCAGGGCTGTGTTTGAATCGTGCTGGCCCCTGATCTGCCTCTTTGTCAGTCTTAGCCAATCCCATGGGGAAGCATTGTGATTGGATCAGGCTACCACTTCTGATGATGCCAGAAGACTGCTTGTTTTTCCGAGTCAAACGGCATGCAGAGTTACAGCTTAAAGCTTGTATACAGTAAGATTTTGCTATATTTATGGAGGCATGAGGGGCCCGGGGGGCTAGATGGTGGTTTTAACCCTATAGGGTCAGGATTACATGTTTGTGTTCCTGACCCTATAGTGATCCTTTAACATGTTCTTTGCTTTTTTTTTTGGAAAGTTATAGGGCTATAAGTACAAGTAGCACTTTGCTATTTCCAAACCTTTTTTTTTTTCAAAATTAATGCAAGTTACATGGGGAGGGAGGGTAAGTGTTACATTTTTATTTATTTATTTCATTTTATTTAATTGTCAGGAATCCCTGAATAACCCTTAAGCACATGTATATATGTTTTAAAAGAAGACAACCTAAGGTATTAAACTTAGGGTATTTTGATTATTTTCATGCAACCAATTCACCACCAATCTATGGCAAATTTAAAAAAAATAATAATTAGTGAATTTTTTGACACACATAGCAATTTAAGAATACATGTACGGAGAACTTTAAGGGTTACTGCCAAAAAACACACTGATATGTGTTCAGCAACATCTTTTGAGAACAGTGATACCCCCATGTATAGGTGTGTCTGGTTCAATGGGGGCTAAGAGACATTATTTGGAGGGTGCGCATTCCAGTTTTCCAACTTGCAATTTTCTAAGCTGATCATTATGCGCCCATATCCTATTTGGGACATTTTTGAAGCGGGCCAATGTAATTTACCCCCATCAAACAATATATTTTTGAAAAGTAAACACCCTAGGGTATTTCAAATGGTGTTGTTTTAACACTTTCCATGCAGTGATTCTACCCCCAGTCTTTGTCAACATTTTGGGTAGTAATTTTTTGTGTTATTTTTCTCTCACATTGTACTTTAGACATGGATTCTCAGCTCCTGTTATGTATTACTGCCAAAGAACACCTCAATATGTGTTCAGCAACATCTCCCAAGTACAACAGTGGCCCCAATGTACAGGTTGTATGGGTTTTTTCAAACTTACAGGAGTCAAATGTAGGGCTTTCCCCTTTTCCATGTTTGCACATTGAAATTTGCCAGATTGGTTTGCTGGGCCAATGTTGCCTTTGAGACCATATAGCAGCCCAGGAATGAAAAGTAACCCCATCATGGCATACCATTTGTAAAAGTAGACAACCCACGGTATTCACAATGGGGTATGTCCAGTCTTTTGTAGTTGCCACTTGCCAGAGTTAGCGTTCATATTTGTTTTTTGCATTTTTTTACACAAAAACTGCACTTTTACTGGTGATTTCATCATCGTGATAGGTTTTATTGTCTCCCAAATATAACAATATCCCCCATGTACAGGTTTTATGGTGTTTTGGAAAGTTACAAGGTCAATATAGGGCTTGCCCAATTCAGTTTGCCAGATTGGTTTGCTGGGTCTGTGTTGCCTTTTGAGACCATATGGTAGCCCAAGATTGTAAAATAACACCATCATGGCATACCATTTTCAAATGTAGACAACCAAGGGTATTCCATATGGGGTATTTCCAGTCTTTTGTAGTAGCCACTTAGTCACAAACGCTGGCCATAGTTAGCGTTTTTATTTGATTTTTATAAATGCTTATTTTTTGCAATTTATATTATACTTATCTGTTTTTTACATCTATATATATATATATATATATATATATATATATATACACACACACACTTTTATTTCTTATATATGTATAATATATTATAATTAAAGCATTTTATAAGATATGATTTCATTTTAAGTGTATTTTTATATATATATATGTGTATATATCTCAAAGTACACTTATAATGAAATCATATATATGCATTATATATGTATAATATATTATAAAATGTTTTAATTATTCTATAATATATTATACATATATATGTATAATATATTTATTTTATGTTATTTTTTTTACTTTTTAGCAGCCTGGGGGACTGTCTGACAGATCAGACAGTCCCCCTGCTGGCAGCTCCCAGACTCCTGTTGCAGCGATGTGATCATGGTGATCACATGGCCCTGGAGAGCCGGGGTGGCCTGAGCTGCCTCAGGGGGACTGCTGAGGTCTCCAGCAGTACCCCCGACCATGATCGCCGCGGATCGCTGGTCCAGGTAAGTGCATGACTCCTATTTGCCGCGGTTGTACTAGGTACGTCCGCAGTCCTTAACGACCGTTTTTTTGTCGGACGTTCATAGTTCGTTAAGGGGATATACATAGATATATATATAATTTCATTCTAAGTGTATTTTGATATATATATATGTATATATATATATATATATATATATATATATATATATATATATATATAGAAAAATGACCGCACTACAAGGACTTGTTGATAGTAAAAATAAAATATAACTTCTATTCTATATCATATAAAAAAAATATATCGACGTTTCAGCCCCAATACATGGGCTTTCATCAGGATGGCTGAGCCCAGACAGTCCCCACCTAAGAAGAAGAAGAAGAAGACCGATCTCCGGCGGGGGAATGGCGGCGATCGGTAAATACATGGGGAGGGAAGGTAGGGGTTACATTTTTTATTTATTTATTTTTTTATTATTATTTTTTATTATTTACTGAGTGCTTCGACCCCTCGAGGCACTCAGTACAAGCAGAGCATCGGAAGTCTGCCTGATGGCTTCCGATGCTCTGCCTCACTGCCGGGCTCCACGTGGAGCAACCCGGAAGTGATCAGTCCAGGGGGAGCGATCACCCGGTGTTCTCTGGCGGCCAGGCAGCGAGGGGGGGTATTGCAGCGATGCATTGACATCCAGGCATCACTGCAATACCATTAGAGCTGCTGGAAGCGATCAAGATCGATTCCAGCGCTCTAATTCCCCGCGGACGTATCAGGTACATCCGTGGTCCTTAAGGACCGTTTTTTGTCGGATGTACCTGATACGTCCGCGGTCACTAAGGGGTTAAAAAGCAGCACTCATGAACAAACTATCTTCACAATTGCCACAAGCGCAAACTAAAAATAAACATTATAAATTGCTAGTGCTAATAAATGTATTATATCCATTTGAGGTCCATATAAACAATGATGCAAACATTTGCAACATTGTTTATACTAAATGATACCATATGCTTCCTAGCACTTGTGTTACACCACTTATGTTAAATATGGTGTAAACTTTACTCATTCTGGCTGTAGCTACTTTTAATTAAATGTACTGGCTGAAAAAGCCATTAAAATCATGATACTCATGTTACAAAAGGTGTGGGAAACAGGCAACACACAAAATTAAGTCATTCACTCAAAACTCACCACTACAACTCCTTGGCTTAATTTTCTGTGTTTGTATTTGATTTTGTATCACTTAGCAATGTTACAATGCTGCCGCCACCCCATGTGTAACCTATTAAGGGTTAATAAGTGTGTAGGGGTTAAGAAAAATACCTGTCTTTGTCTCATTAGAGATCTTTGTAGCTGGAATCAGCAAAGTGAATTGTTAGTGTAGGACTCACCTGCACTAGGTGTTGGTCATTTGAGTTATACTAAAATAAATC